TACTTACGTATACCTAAAACCGTAAACCTAAAGACGTACACCTACTTACGTAAACGGGGTCAGATATAGATTGGAAACGTAAAACAGGTTGAAAATATAATAACATTACACATTTTTAAAGAACGATGAATACTGGAACGTAAACGTACACTAAAATTGGTATACGGGTTCGTAAACGTACACCAACATTGGTATACGTGATTGTAAACCCTTTTTTGACATAAGGCTGTTAAACATAAGGCTGTTATAAAAACTTCATATTTATTTTACAAACAAGCGACAAGCGAGCATAGCACATCGATACTAAAGCATTTTTGCTATGCGTTCTGCCGAACATCTAAGATAACAATTTTCACATGTAACAATATAATGCACATTCTCGTGATACACTTCGCACGACGCAGAGTTATCTTCATGAATGAGACTAGGGTACCTGAACTTTTCCTTGTATGTATGTTTATTACGTGGGCAAAATGACCAGAATAAATCTACTATCTCTGCGGTGACTTCAAGAATTTCACGAGAATCATGAGGATAGTGGTACATGAAAACCATCTTAAGAAGTTTTTTCCCTCTGTTAGGGCGACCCACGCACATTTGCAAAATCGCACAGCTGTAAGTCGCATAGACGTCTGATGGCACGAGCTTATTTAGCATCCTGATGGCGGTGTAGATCTTCTCCTCTGTTGACACGAACCTTATAGCTTCGACCAATATGGCCTGTGGATTTCTCGACGCTAAGCAGCGCAGGAATAAAGGCCGATATACTCCACCAGGGTATATCCGAGATGGTGTGTCATGCAATGTCCATAGGTATGCCGATCTGAGTACTTCCGCGCTATACGCAATGTCTCTACCATGGGTCCCGGCCAGAATAATCGGTCCAAGGTCGATGCAGTCAGACTCAGCAACCTTCTTCAAAATGATTTCGAAAATATGATCTGGTAAATCTAGTAAATCTGGCATTTTTTAGGAAGGTTATAGGGTTTGTGTAAGGTTTGTGTAGGGTGAACTTTTTGCGCAATTTTATGAAACTATATATTGAATTCCATGGGTAGTTGTTGTTGAGAAATAGTTAATGGTAAGACAATTAGTGTGTAGTTGAACAGAAGTAATATTACAAGAAGTTTGTGAAGTGATGTTTACCAACTACAGAAATTAAAGAAGTAGTTACATTGTTACAACTAGTTAAGTTGTTAGTAGCTACTTGTTACAACATCAATCGTCAAGTGATTTTCACTTACTTTCCACCTTAAATTTATTACAAAATTAAACAAGCAGTTGCAATTTAAATAGTTAAACTAAAGTAAATATCTTATGCGCAGAGCCGTGCATTGTAGAAGGCAATACTCGCAGTCTGGTGTATTTGAGCCATCGTAATGGTCATCTACACACTCCGATATAGGTTCTTCTTGTAGGGTGATGGGGAAGGACCAAAGGCTACCCCACGGATCTTGAAACGGCCCCAGTGCGAACTCCCATACGTGACGTATTACGGCGTGCGCTAACAGCTTCATTTCATAAGCCGCATAAGAGACGTGGTGAGTGAATACATAGGTGAGGAGTTTTTTAGCCCTTCGTGGACGACCGACGCAAATTTCAAACATGGCACATGCGAAAGTAGCATGTTTATCACATGGGACAAGTCGGTTAAGCATTGTAATCGCTGAATACAATCTTTGCTCACTCACGGCAACTCCAATGGCTTCGAAATAAATAGCTCGTGGATTACAGGCGCCAAGACAACGCTCAAAGAATGGGCGGTAACGGCTCCTAGGGGAAACGTCGAGCGGTGAGTCAACCAATCGAGAGATGTCTGCAGAGCGTAACACGTCGTCGGTGAACGCGATGGCTCTTCCACGTTTTCCTGCGCGAATAAAGGGGCCAAGATGATAGGAATCATCCTCAGCTAGTTTCTTTACTATTAACCCTAAAACATCATCGTCTAAGTAGTGCATTGTTGTTTCACTTTGGTGAAAAATAAATTTGATTCGCTTTATTTGTAGAGAAGGTGGATAGATATATAAATGTCCTAATTCGTGGTTGGTATACAGATAAGAGCCACTTCAATAACTGCTAAACTGACCCCAACACGTCGCACTACATTATAAATGTAACTACTAGTTTCGGGCACTTTAATAAAAGAGAACTGACCATTATTCTAAAAAATTGGGGGTACAAAACGGGTAGGTGAAATATTTACTAAAAGGGAGTACATTATTATATTATTTTCAACCGTATAATAAATTCTCCACCCCCCAACCACACACCAGTGAAATCCATATATGATGATTTTGCTTTGTCTTACCAAAACTTGCCTCCTTTCCAACGAAAACAAACCCTAAACCAAACATAACAAACCCTAAACCGAACATGTCGCTTCCAGACTTGCCTGATGAAATTCTTATGGAAATCCTCAAGAGGCTCAGCAGTGAAGCATTTTGGCGACTCGGACCATTTGTGCGCGCTGGAAAGCGCACCCTCCGGCTTGTTTTCACCGACGATGTCCTCAAAGCTTCCAACATTTATGCCCTTTGCTGTGTCCCCAACGACATCTGCCCTGGAAATGAAAGACGCTCATTCTTTCTGAGATGTTTGGCGAGTGGAAACCCTGAGGCAAGATACTGGGAAGGCCTGAGACTTGCAACAAGAGGCGCAGATCTCATTGCAAGTAGGACCATGCTGGAACCAAATGTTCCCACCGACGCTCTCTCGACCCTGGCGTCCGCCATGTTCAGCGTTTGCTTGGGTGACCCTTGTTCCGCAAGCCAAACATTGCAACTGTTGGCAACGCATCAAGGAAGTCTACAGTCAGAGCGCGTGCGACAATTAGGTGAGGAGTTAATTCTTGAGATTTCATATTACGGAACTGCATACATGGATACGTACTCAAACTCATTTTCATATCCAAACGACAACGTCATCAAGCTGCCTGATTGTGCATTTGATCATTTCGAACCTGAGATCCGAGTACTTTGCAATGGTTCCTTCATATATTGGTGTGCTAGGCGTATCTGCGAAATGCTTTAAAGATAAGTTTATGCTGTACACCTTTGCAAGTGTACACGAGTATTTCCTTTTTAGTATGTAATGAACAATCTTTGAATTAATATTCCATGATTTATGTTTCATGAAATCGTTGGACAATTTATGCTTCGACAATTTATCAAATCCAAAACATAAAAACCACAAAATGATATTAAAAAGTTAATATGAAGTCATAAACTTCCCAACCAACTACACGCTAACAAAATAGAGGTCTTATTTTTTTCCTAAACAAAATACACAATTCAACAAACATAATTAAAAGTACAATTAAGGAGTTTATACTCTTCCGGCGTGCTCCACCGTCTACGCAAGTGCAGTGGTTTCAAAAGCAGCCCTGTCTTCCACAAAAAAGTTTCCTTCGCCTATTTGGGGGGCAGTAAACATTTGGTGTATTTCCGTCAGTACCTGATTACATATACATGTAAACACAGGTAAGCCCTTATTTAAATGGAATTACTATATTATATTCCCTAAAAGACAATAACGATTTATTTCTTTCATGTGTAAAAATACATCATTGATGTTGTTGTTGGTCCTGAAGTGAGTTGGGTTCAACATCTTCAGAAAAATGTTCCCATAAGTATTAACGTTTGGGTGATACACTTTTGTTTTGAACATCACCTGAAAAAAATCAGTGTTATTAGTAATTGAAATCTTTATTGACTAAATCCTAAACCCTAAAAATACAGCAATTTTAGAGAGCAATCATATGCTTCATTCCTTACCCTAGGTGGCGCGAAAGGGTAGTCAAGTGGAAAGTGAATGTCTACTTTGAAAACACCATTCTCATAGGGTGAACCTTTAGGCCCCGTTATGATAGCTTCCCAGTGATACAAGTCCTCACCCACAGGTCCTAATGAAATCGGCAAACCACTAATTAGGTAGACGATGTAAAAGACCGACCCTGTAAAACTAAAACTTAACTAATGCCCTATTTTCAAATTAACCATCAAATACCTGTACTGAAACATGGACTGTTTTTCCTCTCCACTTCCTTCAATTGCAATGAGATCACTTTCGCAGAGTACATGTTTAGAAAGTAAGTAACTTTTGCTGTTATTAACTTTTTCTGTCTCCGGAAACTTGTTTCACTGAAGAAGGCAGGGGACAGTTTTTATAGAGGACGACCGGAAAAACATTATAAAGTAAAGAAGGGAAACGAGTCGGTCAAACGGTGCAACAGGTTTCAAAAAAGGTACTTAACTAGTTTTTGTCATTTCCAATTTGATTTTTTTTGAACTTAGACACTGGTTTCATTATTGCGATTTTCAAAATTGTAATGACTTGTTTTTTGAAAAAACCGTTTACTCGTGTTGTCCTGTCCTACAATTTCAATTCAAAGACACGATCATTGTCCGTTTTCTATATAATGTTTTCTTTCTCTGCTATAGAACCATGTCTTTGATAATTATTTTGATCCAGAACCATGTCTTTCATAAAGTTTTCTTTCTCTGCTATAGAACCATGTCTTTGATAATTATTTTGATCCAGATCCATGCCTGTGCTAATTATTTTGATTCCTTAATAAGATAAAGCCTAAAGCTTTCATCGTAAACCCTAAGCCCTAAACCCTAAACCCTAACCCATAACGTCCATAACATAAATTTATATGCTAAACCATATAAATGTAAACTTATACATAAGCCATAATGCAAATACACTATATGATGTAAACTGATTGATGTTGTCCACCATCACAGTGTACACAAACAGTGTCCACCGTCAAGGGTGTACACGCTAGAAACAAACCCGAAAAACATAGCAACATGTCCACCGTCTAAACCCTAAACCCTGACCAGTAAACATCATAAATTTCATAACAAATTAAACATAGTTCATGCCTTTCCAAGTTTAAATATAGGGAAACATAGTGTACGCTACAAACAAACCCAAAAAACAAAGCAACATCCCCACAAAAAAAACATCAAGAGACACACAAAAGCCACTCCCGGTCAACCCAATGGTTCCTTGCATTTTGCCCGGTTATGGCCGGCATTTCCACATCTAGAGCATTTTTTTGGCTTCTTTTTTTTCGCAACCTGCAACAGCGTATATCAGTAATCATTAATCAGTAATCAGTATCACTGGGAAAAAAATATATGTTTAGTGTACACTAACCTGAGGATACTCTCCTGCTGAAAGTTTTCTCTTCGTCGTAGGCCTTCCTGATGGACGTTTTGCCTTAGGTGGCATAATATTAAGGTCACGCACCTCTGCTGGGATACGAATGTCGTCAGGGTCGGGCACTGGTAGGATTTTGCCACAAACTGTTGCACTCCAAATTGATTTCTTAAGAATTGGATCAACCAAACTGCTGTACTCCACTTGGCGAAGCCTAGCCGCGGCCATTGCATGTCGGCAAGGGTATTTCAATGTCTGAAACTCTAGACATGAGCATGTTTTGTTTAGGAGATCAACAAGCCTCCGTACACCGAACTCAGAACTCACTTCAACCTCCCACAAAGAAATGCCTTGAACCGAAAGTGCAGCAGATTTTTGCTGCTGCAGGTTCATTAACTTGTCAACCTCTTCTGTAATGTCACCATCCATCTTTTGAATGGTCTCTCTTCTGCATTCAAGCCACCTACTTAACATTAGCCTGATAAATTCTAGCATTGCAACGATTGGACTGTCTCTTGGAGCTAATAGTGCATTGTTCAGAGACTCTGCAATGTTACTGGAGGTCATATTATACCTCTGACCAGAAAAGTGTGATCTAGTCCACAGCGCAAGAGGGATTTTTTCCATGTACTCCCAACAACCATAATCAACATCCTTCAGCCTTGCGTATAGTTTCTTGAAATTAGAAACTTTGAACGCTTCTCCAGCCTTTCCGACCAACCCTTTCTGACCGGAACCTTTGTATTTACCGTGAACATTTCTCTGGATATGGACAAGACATGCACCGTGGTGTGACTGTGGATACCATTTCTTTTTAGCTTTGGCAATTCCACCGTGCCTATCCGAGATAACAGTAAGATCAGAGAATCTGAAATTATTTCTAACAACTTCTCAAAGAACCATCTCCACGTCTTGTCAGACTCTGCATCAACAACGGCGAACGCTATTGGAAATACCTGGTAATTAGCATCTTGTCCACTGGCCGTTAATAGACAACCCTTATACTTACCAGTGAGGTGAGTCCCATCAACAACAACTACTTGTTTCAAATGTTTCCATCCAGATATACACGCAGCCAATGCCATAAATACGGACTTAAACCTGGTAATACATTTTCCTTCTTTTTCATCTCTCTCGCTCTCGGTTATCAAATGCGTTATGGTGCCGGGGTTAGCATACTTGAGCACATGGAGGTAAATCGGTAATAATTTGAAAGAAGTCTCCTCTGTTCCGTGAGCAGAGTATATACCCACCTCCTTAACTTTCCAGCATTTCCAGTACGATGCTGTAATATTATATTCGGAGAGAACAATCGCAGGTAGCTGACTCGCACGTGGCCCAACTATTGCATTCTCATACTTAGACTTCAGCAGAGCCGCCATGACTTTAGAAGTAGCATGTTTTGAAAATTTCTTTCTTGTATCCGGGTGGCATGTATGCGTCAAACACGCCTTCCTCACCTCATACAACGCCGACTCGCCAACTTGACACCCCAACACTCTCCAATCACATATCTTTGATGGACATTCGGCGACTGTGTACTTCTTCGCATGCTTTTTGAATTCGAACGTCACTATATTCTTCAGCGCATTGATGGCCAACGTGATTTTAAAGTGTTCCTTGTTCCTGAACTTTTTCCCAACCCATATCTCTCCATCTTCATTTGACAAATCAAGTTCATCGAAATCCCCTCCCATTTCATCAGAGACTGGTGCCACATCCGGAAATCCATATAGTTCTGTACGTTTAATCGCTTTCTTCAGCTCTGCACCGCCATTCAGACGCCCCTAACTGACATCACCTGGCGGAGTCTGCACAAAATCATCATCATCTCCATGGGGAGCCAGAACATTCTCACATACAGTCCTCTTTCTTCCAGAAAAATGAATAGGACTCTCCGTTAAGACAATGGAGTTGTCCATATGGTTTGAATCACTCGGCTCACTTCCGCGAGTACTTCCACAACCGCCTGAACTACCAGAGTCATCCTTATCCTCATCAAATCCAGGTTTAGAATGGAAACCCTTTCCATCTGCTAGAACGTAATCATTCCACCAGTCAAAATCATAATCCGGATCATAATCATCATCAGAGCCGTGTGCGTCATCGTCAACATCATCAGCTTCTTTCTCTTCCGAATCTCTCGCCTCGTCTGATTTCTGGGCATTTTTAATTCCAACTCAGGGTGGTCATCAGCGACAGCGTGACTTGGAACATCCGGTTTTACATTAACGGAGGTGTTAGTGCTGGCCTTAGCCTCTACTTTCTCTGATTCCTGGGACATTTTTAATCCCAATGGAGGATGGATAACAGAGACAGCTTCAAGTTGTACACCTTTGGAGGTGTTCATTGCGGCCTCTGCCTATATTTTCTTGGCATGTGCTATCAGCAAACAATCAGCGATATCTTCATCATCTGCTTCATCATCGGGTTGACTAGACTCTGCCGAAGAAGAGGCTATGAAGTTTGTTGGCCCTAAGGACTTTCGCCGTTCCCTCGCAATTTGAACTTCAAGACTTTCCTTCCGTTTCAATCTCACCATTTTACCATTTACTGACTCCTTGAATGTGACAAATAAATTCACAGACTTGTCAGACTTATGTAGCGAAAGGAAGAATTTGTACTCTCGAGGAGTAACTATTACACATGGACAACTCCCATCACCATTAAGCTCAGCTAGAACATCATCAAACTAGTAGGAAATCTCCACCGAAACAACTCTCGTGTCTAATCCGAACTCATGCGCAATCAGATTTCTCAAATCATCTGGTCCGGACACATCTTTGCAATTTATGCACCTGCCACGACGAGATATGTCCATTTTGAAATCTCATTCTCCTGTATAGTACCTTATCCACGTTCCCGCCATAACAAGAATGAACGCATCCACTGCAATTCGCGAACACCATATCTATAAAACTACTGGCAAATGGCGAACACCAGACCGAAAAAAAAATCGAAAATAACAATGACAAATCTATGGGTGTACAATAATAGGATTAAGTAACTAACCGTGGTTGTTGTCCTCTAGATCATCGCATAATTTCCCCTTCAATTTCAACATCTTCTGGAAAGGGAAACTAGGGTTTCTAATTTGGTTAGGGTACTTTCTTTCTTATTTTAACCAATTTATCTCCATTATCCCTAATTAACCACAATTTTTCCCGCCAAAATTAAAAAGGGAATGGGAAGGGTAGTTTTTTGTGTAATTACTTGGGTAGTTTCCGGCCCGTAAGCGAGGCCCAGTTAGGTGGTTTTTGGGAATTTCATTCCTAAATTCGAAATCAGGCCCAAAAAACGACCCAAACACGCGCGTGAGTGCTCTCTTCCCGGCTGATATGCGCGCGGAGGTAGACTACGCCTGGGACCCACGGTATTTTCTGCCTCTATCTCTCTCTGAGGAACAGACTGCTCTGTCTCTCTCTCTCTCTCTCTCAGAAAGAAGGGTAAGTTTGCCATTATGAAAATATGTCCCTACCCCGACTAATTAAAACTTAAAACTTCCCTTTCCTCAAATTAAAACTTAAAAACGTCCTTATTTTCAAAACAACCCTAAAAAAAATCAGCTGCAGGTGTAGTGGGTATTTAATTGTGAAACCGAGAAAAGGAGTGAAACAGCAGTAATGTTAAAAAATTGGGAAAAGGAAGAAGACAAAGAAGAAGAAAGACTGGGCTGAGAGGTTTTAAGTGCGCTTCGTCCATTTTCCAGCCTACGCGGGTTTACAATTTAGTCTTCTTCAGTTATAAGTTATAACAATGAGATCCACATTACAATTTTATCCATGTTATTAAAAAGTCTTCTTAAGTTATATGTGGTGCTGACATGGTAGTTTTTTAGAGAAGTTTTTTTTGGCTGAAGTGGACAGGGTGAAGAACCTCAAATAGCTACTTTTATTAGAGTAGATTTTATATATTCTTCAGTGAACGCTCCTAAACCAAAATTTAACATTGGTGAGAACACGAAAAGAGTGGTGGCTTATTAATCTCACCTCCAAAGGTGTACAACTTGAAGCTGTCTCTGTTATCCATCCTCCATTGGGATTAAAAATGTCCCAGGAATCAGAGAAAGTAGAGGCTAAGGCCAGCACTAACACCTCCTTTAATGTAAAACCGGATGTTCCAAGTCACGCTGTCGCTGATGACCACCCTGAGTTGGAATTAAAAATGCCCAGGAATCAGACGAGGCGAGAGATTCGGAAGAGAAGGAAGCTGATGATGTTGACGATGACGCACACGGCTCTGATGATGATTATGATCCGGATTATGATTTTGACTGGTGGAATGATTACGTTCTAGCAGATGGAAAGGGTTTCCATTCTAAACCTGGATTTGATGAGGATAAGGATGACTCTGGTAGTTCAGGCGGTTGTGGAAGTACTCGCGGAAGTGAGCCGAGTGATTCAAACCATATGGACAATTTCATTGTCTTAACGGAGAGTCATATTCATTTTCCTGGAAGAAAGAGGACTGTATATGAGAATGTTCTGGCTCCCCATGGAGATGATGATGATTTTGTGCAGACTCCGACAGGTGATGTCAGTTGGGGGCGTAAGAATGGCAGTGCAGAGCTGAAGAAAGCAATTAAACGTACAAAACTATATGGATTTCCGGATGTGGCACCAGTCTCTGATGAAATGGGAGGGGATTTCGATGAACTTGATTTGTCAAATGAAGATGGAGAGATATGGGTTGGGAAAAAGTTCAGGAACAAGGAACACTTTAAAATCACGTTGGCCATCAATGCGCTGAAGAATATAGTGACGTTCGAATTCAAAAAGCATGCGAAGAAGTACACAGTCGCCGAATGTCCATCAAAGATATGTGATTGGAGAGTGTTGGGGTGTCAAGTTGGCGAGTCGGCGTTGTATGAGGTGAGGAAGGCGTGTTTGACGCATACATGCCACCCGGATACAAGAAAGAAATTTTCAAAACATGCTACTTCTAAAGTCATGGCGGCTCTGCTGAAGTCTAAGTATGAGAATGCAATAGTTGGGCCACGTGCGAGTCAGCTACCTGCGATTGTTCTCTCCGAATATAATATTACAGCATCGTACTGGAAATGCTGGAAAGTTAAGGAGGTGGGTATATACTCTGCTCACGGAACAGAGGAGACTTCTTTCAAATTATTACCGATTTACCTCCATGTGCTCAAGTATGCTAACCCCGGCACCATAACGCATTTGATAACCGAGAGCGAGAGAGATGAAAAAGAAGGAAAATGTATTACCAGGTTTAAGTCCGTATTTATGGCATTGGCTGCGTGTATATCTGGATGGAAACATTTGAAACAAGTAGTTGTTGTTGATGGGACTCACCTCACTGGTAAGTATAAGGGTTGTCTATTAACGGCCAGTGGACAAGATGCTAATTACCAGGTATTTCCAATAGAGCAGTGAACAGATTACGCTCTGACAAGACGTGGAGGTGGTTCTTTGAGAAGTTGTTAGAAATAATTTCAGATTCTCTGATCTTACTGTTATCTCGGATAGGCACGGTGGAATTGCCAAAGCTAAAAAGAAATGGTATCCACAGTCACACCACGGTGCATGTCTTGTCCATATCCAGAGAAATGTTCACGGTAAATACAAAGGTTCCGGTCAGAAAGGGTTGGTCGGAAAGGCTGGAGAAGCGTTCAAAGTTTCTAATTTCAAGAAACTATACGCAAGGCTGAAGGATGTTGATTATGGTTGTTGGGAGTACATGGAAAAAATCCCTCTTGCGCTGTGGACTAGATCACACTTTTCTGGTCAGAGGTATAATATGACCTCCAGTAACATTGCAGAGTCTCTGAACAATGCACTATTTGCTGCAAGAGACAGTCCAATCGTTGCAATGCTAGAATTTATCAGGAGAATGTTAAGTAGGTGGCTTGAATGCAGAAGAGAGAACATTCAAAAGATGGATGGTGACATTACAGAAGAGGTTGACAAGTTAATGAACCTGCAGCAGCAAAAATCTGCTGCACTATTGGTTCAAGGCATTTCTTTGTGGGAAGTTGAAGTGAGTTCTGAATTCGGTGTACGGAGGCTTGTAGATCTACTAAACAAAACATGCTCATGTCTAGAGTTTCAGACATTGAAATACCCTTGCCGACATGCAATGGCCGTGGCTAGGCTTCGTAAAGTGGAGTACAGCAGTTTGGTTGATCCAATTCTTAAGAAATCAATTTGGAGTGCAACAGTTTGTGGCAGAATCCTACCAGTGCCCGACCCTGACGACATTCGTATCCCAGCAGAGGTGCGTGACCTTAATATTATGCCACCTAAAGCAAAACGTCCATCAGGAAGGCCTACGACGAAGAGAAAACTTTCAGCAGGAGAGTATCCTCAGGTTAGTGAACACTAAACAATTATTTTTTTCCCAGGCATACTGATTACTGATTACTGATTAGTGATATACGCTGTTGCAGGTTGCGAAAAAAAGAAGCCTAACAAATGCTCGAGATGTGGAAATGCCGGCCATAACCGGGAAAAATGCAAGGAACCATTGGGTTGACCGGGTGTGGCTTTTGTATGTCTTTTGTTGTGTGTAGGAAAGAGCGAGCCACAATTTTTTGTGTCTGTCTCTTGTTGTTTTTTTTGTGGGGATCTCGCTTTGTTTTTCAGGGTTTGTTTCTAGCGTACACTATGTTTTCCTAGATTTAAACTTGGAAGGGAAACTTATATTTGTTATGAATTTTATTATCAAATTTATATGGTTTAGGTTTCTTATGTTATATTTTTTATGAAATTTATGATGTTTACTGGACAGGGTGTACACAGTTTGTGTACACCTGTGACGGTAGACACAGTTTCTGTACACTGTGATGGTGGACAACATCAATCAGTTTACATCATATGGTGTATTCGCATTATGGCTTATGTATAAGTTTACATTTATATGGTGACGCATATAAATTTAGGTGTATGCACGTTATGGGTTTAGTGGAGAATGTACACCTGTGCCGGTGGACACAGTTTGTGTACAGGGACACAGTTTGTGGATACAGTTTTTGGACAACAACAATCAGTTTACATCATATGGTGTATTCGCATCATGGCTTATGTATAAGTTTACATTTATATGGTGACGCATATAAATTTAGGTGTTTAAACGTTATGGGTTATGTTTAGGGTTTAGGGTTTAGGGCTTAGGGTTTACGATGTAGGGTTTAGGGTTTAGCTTATTAAGGGAATCAACATAATTATCAAAGACATGGTTCTGGATCAAAATAATTATCAAAGACATGGTTCTATAGGAGAGAAAGAAAACATTATCTCAAAAACGGATGATCGTGTCTTTGAATTGACATTGTAGGATAGGACAGGACGAATACACGGTTTTTTTCAAAAATCAAGTCATTACTTTTTTGAAAATCGCTATAATGAAAACTTCCAGGAATAAACGCGACCCAAAAAAAACTAAGTGGAAACGACAAAAACCTATTAAGTACCTTTTTTGAAACCCGTTGCACCGTTTGACGGACTCGTTTTCCTTGTTTACTTTTTAATGTTTTTCCTGTCGTCCTCTATAAAAACTGTCCCCTGCCTTCTTCAGTGAAACAAGTTTCCGGAGACACAAAAAGTTAATTATAGCAAAAGTTAATTACCTAGAAAATTAATAGTTTCAAAAAATGTACTCTTGCCAAAGTGATCTCAATGCAATTGAAGGAAGTGGAGAGGAAAAACAGTCCATGTTTCAATACAGGTATTTGATGGTTCATTTGAAAATAGGGGTTTAGTTTAGTTTTAGGGTTGGAGGATCGGTCTTTTACATCGTCTACCTAAATAATGTTTTGCCGATTTCATTAGGACCTGTGGGTGAGGACTTGTATCACTGGGAAGCTATCATAACGGGCCTAAAGGTTCACCCTATGAGAATGGTGTTTTCAAACTAGACATTCACTTTCCGCTTGACTACCCTTTCGCGCCACCTAGGATAAGGAATGAAGCATATCATTGGTCTCTCAAATTGCTGTATTTTAGGGTTTTGGATTTAGTCAATAAAGATTTCAATTACTAATAACACTGTTTTTTTCAGGTGATGTTCAAAACAAAAGTGTATCACCCAAACGTTACTACTTATGGGAACATTTTACTAAAGATGTTGAACCCAACTCACTTCAGGACCAACAACAGCATCAATGATGTATTTTTACTCATGAAAGAAATAAATCGTGATTGTGTTCTGGTTAATAATCTTAATTCCGTATAAATTAGGGGTTAACTGTGTTTACATGTATATGTAAACAGGTACTGACGGAAATACACCAAATGTTAACTGGCCCCCAAATAGGCGAAGGACACTTTTATGTTGAAGAAATTGCTAGGATTTACGTGGAAAACAGGGCTGCTTTTGAAACCACTGCACTTGCGTGGACGGTGGAGCACGCCGGAGGAGCATAAACTCCTGAATTGTAATATTAATTTTGTTTGTTGAATTGTGTATTTTCTTTTGCAAAAAAATAAACTTTATAATAACTTTTTTGTTAGCGTGTTTTTCTTGAGAAGTTTATGACTTTATAATAACTTATTTATATCAATTTATGCTTTTGTTAGGATTTCATGAAACAGAAGGGTTAATATTAATTCAAAGATTGTTCATTACATACTAAAAAAGAAATATATGTGTACACTGATGCGTGCTCGTGTCAACTACGTGAGGGAACAAGTTTTACCCTTGACAAAACAAATGAAAGCCGCAAGTGCACAGCTAATCAGTTGTAGTATTTAGGAATCGAATCCACAGAGATTTGTGTGCCTGGTATTCTTCTACGGTTTTTAACTTTATGTCTAGACTAAATTGGTTTTAAAGGTTGGTTGTTTTTCTTGCGAATTAAACTAAAACAAAAGAAAGCAAATAAATCTATCCTAAACCATATCATAAAATCGGAGCAGTGGAGATACAAATTGTACGACCTTATTTGAATAGGGATGATAATGGTGACAGAAGTTAACTGCAAACGATGTTTATTGATCGTTGTAAGCATTGATCCAGTTGCTTCTTTAACGTAAAAGTTGAAAATCCAAATCCACTGTCCCTTTTTGATTTCTTTCCAGTGAGTGGAAAACTTGTTTGGCATAATGGTTGCAGCGATCCGAGTACCCTAGAAAAATAACACAGCCAAAAATAATCAGTGAATAATAAATAGAAAACATAAAAGAAAAACTTCAAAAAAAGACACATACTTTGATATCAGACAGAACCATCTCGATTGTATTTTCGAAGAATGTTGAATGCTTCCAGAGCCTGACCACCTTGACAGATATTAACCACCCTGTTTTGTAAGTATCCAAACATGCAACATCGACAACATCAGACATTTTAGAAACCTATTTTTTTCTTTTTTTCGATCGAGAACTCGGATTGAGATTTATAAACTGGAAAACTAAAATTGACGAAGTATGAGAAAGTGTGTTAAAGATGAAAAGGACATACAATGCAGTTGAATAGGCATTTATTCTTTCTTATAAATTTATTTTCATTTGAATTATTAAAAAGAAAAATTTGAACAGTTACCATTTAAAGCCTCTTATTGTCAAAACCAACAACAATCCCACTAATTTATGTCAAGACATTTCCATATCGATATTGACCGATTTGTTCGTTTCACGTGTCAGAGAGAATATATTCCATGTTTTAAGTTTCACCAAGGATACACGCAACCTCAATAAGTAAATATACCATTTTACTAAATATATAATTTTGCTAAATTATAACACTTTCCATAAAATAATACGATCTCTCTCTATAGCTTATGTTATTTAGACAATTTTATGTTTCAATATTTTAGGAAATGATATATTCATACAACATCATAACAAAAATGACATTTATGTAGACTTATATGTTATAACTTTATGTATCTACATGGGCAATTTTTCTTAAAATTATTTGAAACAGGAAACCTGGAAAGTTAAGCTGCAAACATAAAGTAGCATAATCTTCCCCATAAAAAATTGAAAAATGAGAAAATTGATTATTATTGCACACCTTATAAATACTCACTTGAGGTTTTTTTTTCAAAGAACTTTAAAATATTTTATAAGTAGCCTTATCGTTTGTGAGAGCATTCATAAGAACATGGCGAACACAAATGAAAAAAAATTCGATGAAAATGGCTTGTTGATCATCAATCCCCCACCATTGGTAATGAGATTCGGTGTCGTGGAACCTAAGTCACCACTTTCACCAACAGATTCCAAGATAGAGCAAGAAGAATAATGGGAACAATTACACTTACTCACCGCATCAAATTAGAAAGCCAAACAGAATACTCCTCAGGTAATATATCCTCTTAACTAAAGGGTATTTTAATCATGTCTTACACAATGAATTGTAAAATCTGCATATTCTATTTATGGAGGATGACAAAGGCAACCCATCTAATGAGACACCCCAAGCAAGTTGCACAAAACGAAAACACGATCTGATTCTAGATCTGGAGATACGGTTGAAATGCATGCGTTGCGGTTTTTTGGAGACAGAAATACGACACATGGATACCGCGGAATGGATAAGTAATCAGAAATATATTTAGATTAATAATGAAAAATTGTCTAAAATCTATGTGACTGAGTTATGATATTTTGTTATTGATTGCTCATTGAACTCTGTTTTAGAAATAATTCATGTTTAAATATAATATTGAGTTAGTTTAAAGTTATATAATTTTACAAAAATTTAAATTGGATTGTTTGTGTTTGTGCTTGAAGGGAGAGGAGAAGAAAAGTAAAAAGAGGAGGTCTGGAGTTTTTAATTAAGAACCATATCAAATTCCATGTTTTTTTTTTCTGTTTGCAATGATCACTTTAAAGACAGTATGTACTTGGTTTAGTTTTCTAAAAACTATTAAGTTTATTTCGATGACATTGATAATTTGGTTTTGGAGCATTCTCGATATTTATAACTACGTGACAATGTTCATCACATGAAATGTCAATAGATGTCCAATAATATGCTACAATTTAAGTTTCGTTAAAATATATTGTCGAATTGAGTTTGTCATTGGAATATCAAACTACAGTTAAACGTCATAGATCAAACCATTAATAAAAGAAAACATTAAGAAAGCTGCTAAATTGTACATGGTGGAGTAATATATATATATATGAAGAAAAAACGGATCAGATTGATAAAACCGAGTAACTATACAACTTCCAATTTATATACAATATTTGGGTTCAATAAAAATAATAGGCGATACCCATATCCATTAGTAACATTGTTTTGGTGTAAACCAATCAAACATAATGTATATATGGGTTTTACAAACTCATTTACGATAATAGATAATCTAAACTTAGTACATGATATAAGAATTATTTCAGGTCTAATTTAGTGAAAATTTGAAAACGAATTACATCGGATCCAACTTAGTGAAAAATCGAAAAACACCAAATCTATTAGTAAAACCTATAAAACTGAACGTAATTATAATATAGTAAAAATAACTAATATATTTCGAGATCCATAGAGAATAGATAAAGAAAAAAAAAATCATATCTTGTCAAAAACTTCCTTGTAGACGACATTCAATGTTTTGCTTTGTGGTTTGTTGTCTTTATCGGTGATCAATATCTTCAAACCTTCTCTGTATGTAACCCTCGACACAGCGACATAGAGTTGCCCATGAGTAAATACCGGCCTTGGAAGATACAAACCAACCTTTTCGAGTGTTTGTCCTTGGCTTTTGTTTATAGTCATTGCAAAAGCTAATGTGATAGGAAACTGCTTGCGTCTCATCCTGAAAGGAAGTTTCATCTCCAAAGGAGAGAGGAATATCCTAGGAATGAGTACTTTGTCACCAACCTTGCTACCTGTTATTATCTGAGCCTGGAGAACATAATTAGCCATCTTAGTAATGATGAGTCTTATGCCATTACACAACCCATTCTTAGGGTCGATATTTATTAGAAGCATTACAGGAGTACCCTCTCTCAACTTCAGGACATAATTAAGGAAATCAGACATTGATACTATTTAAAAACTCCTCGGTATAAATCATATTGTTGGAACCACCTTTATTCTTACTGGCTACACTCTCCGATGGTACTTCAGATGCATCATTGTAATTGACAACTTCTTCAGCCGTATCAATGCTATCACAACTAAGATAGGTCCTTTCAACACCTGTTATATACAAAACAATCGTTGTATTATATAAATTTAAACAAATAAGTTAAGAGGAACTAATAAAAAATAAACATACCCGACAACTTTGAAAGCATGTAATCATTTATCGTCTCTACATCATCGTTTCTTGGACTCTAGTATGGCACGGTCTTGAAAAAATTTAGGATCAGTCTCTTTCGAAAACGAACTCCCATAAATTTCTTTGGCGATCATTTTATAGGATCTTTACAGTATTTAATCAACAGATCATCAGGAATATCAATCACGGCTTCACCACTCCCATCATCATTTATCGTTCCATCACCAATGTCTAAGATTCACTTTGTAAAGGCAGCTCGTTCAAGCATCGCACGGCTACTATCTCCAGCTATAAGTCGCATGTTCTGTGTAAGTCTCAACACTCTACATTTGTACCACATAGGTGACGAATTCAAAGTGGCCATAAGTATCTCTGTCTTCCCAGCATTTGGAATCACGGGCAATATGTGCCTGAAATCCCCTCCCAAAACAATGACCTTTTCACCAAAGGGCTTGTCAACTTCTAATATATCATGCATCATTCTATCTAGAGTCTCGAAACAGTCTTTACTCATCATCAATGCCTCATCCCATATAATGAGTTAAGCAATCCTTATCAGGTCGGCAAGATTAGACTCCTTCTTGATTGAACAGAAGGTAAACTTATTTACCACGATAGGGATTGCAAATCTTGAATGCGTAGTTCGGCCTCCTTCTAATAGCAACGCAGCAATCCCACTCGATGCAACATTAAGAACAACATCACCTTGGGAACGTAGAGCAGATCCTAATAGACTCCACAAATAAGTTTTACCAGTACCTCCAGAACCATAAACAAATAACATACCTCCCTTGTTCTTATTTACTGCTTCTAGGATCTCATCATAAACACTTCTCTGTTCGCTGGTTACAGTGGCTAACATCTGCTCGTTTCTAACTCTAAGAGTTTCGCGATTGTAATTCCTCTCATCCCTAATAAGAGGATTATCACGTGACTCCAGAGCAATATCTTCAGGAAACGGCATAGGTGTGAATTCTTTTTAAGATCTCCCACTTACACGTAAAAGAAGTTCTATTTCGACCAGAGCAAAGTCTTTAACTTGCTCCTGAGATAGACTAACAGCTACACAATTTCAAAAATTACAAAAGATAAATTAGCTATCAATATCTCAAAGATATATAATAACAACAACGTAAACGATAACTATACGACTTACTTTGATCCCTGGCAGTCTTTCTGTAATTATATATGATGTCATCTGATAATCCTGCCATGTAGCATCCCAAACTCTAGAAGGAATGGATATACTATGAGTAGTGAGCATGATCACAAAAAGACGACGGAGATAATTGGCAGAAAGCCACAATCCAGCCTCATTGATGGCCTTAATATATTCTTTGTCATCATTCAATAATCCATACGCATAGCAAGCGTCTTTGAACGAAGAATGTAGAACTTTGTTGACCGTTTTTATATCGTCAAAACTATGTGGTCCTTTGACTAAATTAAGCAGAAGCCTTAAATAATACGCTTCACCTGCCCCAATGGGTACATACGTAATTCTACCAGGAAAAATTCTCCTTGACCGTGGCGTCCATATCCTTTTTGGTCCATTCCATACAAATCTCGAAGGAAGTTGCACATAAGTTAACGTCCTCGCCAGTTCATACTCCTTGTTGCACTCTATCCAAGCAATAAATTTTGACGTACGAACTGAGAAACGATTAATAACCTCGTCACCTGGATCATCCTCGTTGTATATGACCATTTGCTGGTTCGGTAAATGAAAGGGTAGTTTAACTATAGAAACCGTGCGATGGTGAGTACGATAACCAAAATTTCTCCACGTAGACTCCGAAGGTGCTACATACCTATATAGAAAGACATTATTAAATAATGGAAGATTGGAATTTCAAAGATATAAAAGATGTGAACAAAATGTTTAAAACATACCTACAGTTGAAGTGTTTCTTAATCTCGTTTTCTTTATCATCATTCTTGATAGTTGCACGGATGTAATCAGCACCTTTATGAATATATTTGAATAGATACTTTACTGATCGCGACTGTACACACCATTCGACGTTGATATAAGCCCTATAAAGCAGTGTGAGGCTCCTATTATAAGGAACCATAAATCCATTATCACATTCAATACCCTTTTTAACGATAACTTTCTTTTCATTACGTCGCCTGTATATAGGATATCCAACATCATCTATTTTAGTGATCGGACTGAATGGTTTTGGAAAATACTTTGTACATTTTCCTTCAGCCATCCAAACACTATCCTTATTCAAAGCACCACATGGCCCATGCATCATGACATCTCCTACTATCTCATACAGCGCTGGATCAATATCCTTGTCAGGAATTTCAGCACATATTATCTTATCAATGTCATCACCTGTTGGTAGCTTGTAACCAGCCTCTAAAAAAAGAATAATGTGTGCATGAGGTAGTCCCCGTTTTTGAAACTCAATCGTGTAGATCGCTGCAACGAATAATTTTAGTTTTTAAAAAATTAGTTAGCATGATCATCTAGCAGTGGTATGGACAATATCTTGCTAAACGAAATAAGATACTTAGTTTAATAAAACATACCGATTTTTACGACACCTAACACATTTTCTTTGGTGAGTATGTGCATGAGATCATATAGTTTCATCTTGAACACTCGCGTACATATATCTGGCATATCTTCTTGCTTCAAGTTATGTCTTTTTAGGTGCCTGGTAATTTCAGGACATTTGGGATTACACATAAAGGTTATGAAAAGATCCGAAAAACCAAAATGCTGGCAAGTAGTCATCGCATCTAGATAATGTTGCACCATATACCTTGTACCACCAGTATAAGAAGAAGGTATAATAATACGTTTACCATTGTCAGAAAGATCAGTGTCACCTTCATCAACAGTTTTCTTTATCTGATCTTAATTTTCGCAATGAAGTTTAGACTGATTCATTGAAATGAAATATAGTCTATTAATCTCAATCATCGTGTACGCATCCACTAAGAACTGCTGTAATAATCTTCCAGATAAAGGGATGATTGGTGACTCGCCAACCCTCTCCTATATGCGGAAAGCAAAAAACTCTCTCATAGTAATATGCAACCTTTTCCTCCCTTCGGTATCTACAAAACCGATATCGATACCAAGTCTGAACGCGTCCTCGCCATAGGGAAACAATAATGGAAATTGCAAAGGCAAATACGCAGGATGTAGTTCACTGATCCTTTTGAGATTCCCAGTCTTTTTACACTCGATGATGATATCACGTTAATCTGTCTCAATATCGAAATCATTAGGTATCAATGCAGCAACCTCGTAAGTAATTGGTAGATTCTCAGTCCTTCCATCTCTTTTCCTGTCATGCCTTAAAATTAACCTTAACCGGCTTGTATCATCGTTAGGACCAAACCTTTCTCGCACGTTTCGTAATGCATCCACATGTTTGTTATGTTTATCTAGCATATTTTTTATTTTCTCAACCACCTTCTCTCGCAATTTATCAGTCGGTCCTGTTTTCCTAAATTTTTTTAAAATAAAGTCTTATGACAGTTAAAACCACATAACATTTAATAACAATACATATATGTTTTAAAATTGATCTCAATGATTAAATTAAATATAAACCAAAGGAATACTAATCATACCCATAAGCAGCTATTCGGTTAGATGTTTCATTTGCGGTATCATATATATACAGCTATAAAAAAGCTGGTTCTTTTCCAGGAGCTGGTAGCATATCCCCCATAGAATAGTAGTTCTCCCCACTCATCTGGAAAATGTAAGGACCTTTACCGTCGATTTCTTTATTTATTTTTCCTCCAAGAGAAGTGAAGGAAAACATCATATTATACGCCCGGATAAACTCACGAAACTGATCACGCAAATCACCATCATTGTACATCAATGCTAATAGCGAATTCGAAGGGGCTTTAAGAAGTGGAAAACGACTTTACCTTGACCACAACACATGGAGAATATATGCTTCCCACGTCGATATCGTTTACCCAACCTCTCTCCATACCACATATAAGCCTTACACTTACCACATATATATATATATATATATAGGATCACCATCATCGTAATAACATGGTTAGAAAAATATTCATTGATTAGTATTAATTACACGATATTTATATATTATGTATTAAATGAAATATATTAATCCAATGAAAACTATAACCTCCATCTTTCAGACCAGGACTAACTGATTCCAATAAATCTGTTCTAGTAACAACGGTCTCGGTTGCTTCCTCATCACAAGAATCAGAGGATTTAGCACGTTTTTTGGGTCTTCCTTTTTTTTTTTATTACCAGAAGTCGGTTTTTCCACATCCACACTTTCCAACATAGAGTTTTCATCATTATCCCTATCGGACTCAGAATCAGTAGCAATAAAGCAAGCAAACTCTCCCGTGTTGATAGAAGTAGCCAAAAAATCTGTTTGTTTTTTTTTTCATGGAAAAAATAGTAAGTATAAAATTATTAATCTACATTGTAAAAATTGATGTGTTATACCTTCCAGTCCCCCATTATAAAGTCTAACGTGCGGTCACATTCAGGAAATCTTTTAAATTTCCGTAAGACTTTCAACTTAGTCTTCCATATATGCTTGGTAGGATCAAGTTCGGAAATTCCAAACAGATTTTGATCATATTTTTTATGTATGGCGACAGATAGCCATTTAAGTTAAATGCAAACCCAGAGCCTCAAAACAATTACAACGATTGCTTCCAAAGGTGCCTTAAATAAACACAGCAGAGACAATATTTAAACCAAACCTTTGTTTCCTATTTATACAATTTAAAATAAAAGGATATATCGAATATTTTACATTTTTGAGATACCTTAATGTTTATTTTACATTTTTACGATAACATATTACTTTGATAGAAAATTTCATCTCTTGATATATTCTTTTCAGATCGGAATCGCAGGGATACATTTTCCGATTTGTATTAGGAATCTATTATATTATATTGTTATAATTATAACACTTTTACCAGATTTGTATTAGGAATCTATCGGAGGTGGGACATTTGCATTGTTATATATAAGAACGATGTATTAGCATTACCGAGTTATATCTGACGAATACTTTATAGGTTTTATAGGCACTACATCATGTCGATCGCTGCTTGTCTTTTAGCAATGAAAAACATGACTTTCATCAATTTGTCTGATATAACTCCATCAAACCAACTACGCCGTATTCGTGTGAAAATACTACGTATTTTCGAGCAAATCGTTGAACCTGACAACACTCTAGATTTGGTGTTGGTTGATAAAAAGGTATTCCGGTGACTCTATATGTTCCGTGCATATCACTTCTCTGATATACATATTTTTGTTTTTATAGGGTGATAAAATACATGGATCAATATCAAAAGGGTTTATAGACATTTTTACATCGAAAGTGAAGCAGGGAGATTCAATGATTCTGTATCGTTTTGGTGTAGTCCCTGTCATCGGAGACTTGAGACCGACGTTGCACAATTATAAAATAATATGGAATTCTCAAACTTGTTTTTCAAAGATCTCTTTCTATGATAACAATAACTACCTAAGTATTGTTGAATTTGGTAACATACACAACAATCTCAGAGACCCATTGTTTTTTGTTGGTATGACTTAAGATAAATTAATAAATAATAACATGAAATATTTCTTATTTTATATTTACAAACTTTCTCAATGACTAACTAATCTTTTTATTAGATATAATTGGACACATCGCAGTGATTGGAACATTTATTCACAAATCCTCTAAGAGTCAAAGAAAGTGGGGTGGTGTTTACGTGGAGCTCCGTAACGAATCGTAAGTTTATCAAATATGTTTCTCAATTGCAATCACTGTAATTATCAATTTTTACTATATTATGTGATTATTATATGCCCAACAGGGATGCTAGATTGCAAGTGTTATTACGGAACGACTACGCACTGGACCTGATGACTGCTTTATCACGGAAAGAACAAAAAGTTAACATTTTTGTTATACGATTCGT